AGTAAATAAAGGTTAAATTTCACCTCCGAGGGCCACGAGCTACAATCGGAGCCGCATCCTGGAAATGTCACTAACCACCTCTGCCTTCCTCTCTGCCTCTCAGGGAGAATCTGGCCAGTGACATGTACCTCATCTCCCAGATGGACAGCGACCAATATGTGCCAATTGTGACGGTGGCCAACTTGGACCACGTCAAAAAGCTCAGCACCGACGTGGAGCTGATCGTGGACATTTTACGATGTGAGTTTTATTTAATGTGATAATTCTGCTCCCTGAACTGAGAGTTAAGAGTAAAGCTTTAACGGCGGCTGCTCACCTGCTTTAGATGTTTGATTTACCAAGAGAGGGTTTGTTAAAGTGCAATCAGCAGAGTCTTACCTGCTTGTGTTTGATTTACACACACATTTTAATTTACTACTTAAATTAATCCCATCTCTGGCTCNNGTGAGGACGAGACGCCGTAAAACAAACTGCGTCTTACTTGTGCTGCTGTGAACTGTGAACGCTTCATTTTCCAGCTCTGCCGTTGGTCCAAGTGGACGAGAAGGGGGAGAAGGTGCGACCCAATCAGAACCGCTGCATCGTGATCCTCAGAGAGGTTCCCGAGAGCACGCCCATAGAGGTCAGTGGACGCTCGCCGTGGTATATGGTTTATTTACAGCGTGGCAACAACGAGATGGTCCTTTTTAATTGTTTATAGAGATGCTGCGTGAGTCAACACAGACTAAGTGTATCACGCCCTAAATACAAGCACAACTTATGTACTTTGGTACCAAACCCGCTCTAGTTACGATTGTTCATACATCTTTTATTTACAGGCAAACTACATTTTATCTTTTATTTTTAGTGAAATAGTAGATAGATGGACACATAATGGAGAGTTAAACAATAACAGTTGTAATATTTTACATGTACTGATGAATCCAGGAGTAGTAATGTAGGTTTTTGTGTCTGGAAGTCGGCACGTGGAACTTCTTATCCAGCCGTCCGATGATTTAAAAGCTTTTACCAGTTTAAAACATTAAAGTTGAAGCAATAAGGATCTAAAAAGTAACATAAAATTACAAATACATAACGAATAAACAGTCGTTTGTACGTGGGGAAAAACCGAACTTCAACAACTGTGATAGAATACTATAATAAT